TAGATTACATCGTATTTTTAATATCAGTTAAATCCCTTACATAAAAATATATACAAAATAGTTACTTCTATAATTAAATTCTATAATTTCAGACTAAGGAACAATTGTAATTAAAATATTTTTAAAAAAATAATTGTTTGAGTTTTATAAAGGAGATTAAAATAAATTTCTGTTATTTATATTTGTTTTTAATAAAATAAAATTACATTTAGTTGCTCTATATTTTATATTTCTTAAAATGTAGTTTATTTTGTTTATAAAAATATTTTATTTGAAATAATGACATAGAGGAAGTATACATTAGTTCCAAACTGATTTTTACATAGAGGTAGAATAGTATTGTATTTTACTAAAATAGTTTGGGCGAGAACTAGGGAGGGGCAAAAGGGGCACTTGCCCAGAGTGGCAGAATTCAGGAGGCGGTACATTTTAAACAAAATCATATTTTTGGTAAAATAAAAATTTTTGTTCTTACTTTTTTATTGTTTTGACCTTCATTCAGTAAATAAAATTAGTTTTTATACCTAATTTAAAATTTATTAACTGAAATACTTTGATAAAGCTTTTATCTTTTAATAAGACAATTATGGCGAAGGTTCGGGAAATTGAACATGTCCTACTTGGCAAAAATCATAGTTCTGTCCCTGATTATAACAATATCATAAGCATCCGGGTGGGGAACGTTTAACTCTGGCATTACTCCTCCGTCCTCTCCCCTAACCCTGGAAAAAAATGGAATAGCGAAATAGGCGAGGAAAATAAAGATAAAAATTATTTCAATGATTCATTAACCGATTTAGCTGCCGAGGATAAAATATGTGTGTGTGTCATTGTTAAGTTCTCTATTGGTTTTAGAGATACCTATGAAACTTTTCACGAAAATGGTGGTGAGGGACCACAGATAGAACCATAATTTAAGTCACGTTGCTTGTAAGTAAGATATGAATTGCAAACAGCTCTGGTACTTAGATGATATAGAGGATACCAAAACTCAGACTCCTTGTTTTAGGAAAATAAAAAATACTTTTTCTTTACTTATTCACTCCCGAACGGACGGTAGTTTTGTATTCTTGTGGTTGGTTAAAAAAAAAAATGTGCTCAGAATTGAAAATTCCCATTAAACAACAAGGACAATTTCCTGTCTGTCTGTCGGTTCAGTAAATCTGTAGTCAAATTCCATGTTACCGTCTTCTCACCTACTACCGTTTATCTGATTTTCATTAAACTTTCAGAGAATGTGCACGTTATTGTCTGAATGGTCCTATACCAATTCCATTGTATCCAATACTTTACGGCCAGGGCTCGTTCAATTTTGATCAGAAAATTGGGCAATGGTAAAAACCGATGATATATGAACTTTTTGGAATTTCTTCTACTGTTTCCTCTTGCAATTGCTAATAATTCTTGGTATGATTATCTCTCAAAATCCTAACGTTTAATTGTATCTGAATTCGGATAGAAGTAGATAATTTGGAGGTCAGTGTAAAAAAAGTCAAGAGTCAATTTCATCAAATTTCATTGCACAATTCAGATTAATCTATTGTCAATCTCTTTAGTGCTTGTCAGTGTCCTTCCCGTCAGAGTGCCTCAGTCCCAAAAAATGTGCCAAATCGTGCCAGACTCATCAATCATGGCTGCCTAGATTCAGCAAACACCTGAGGATACGGCAATTCTTGGTGGCTAGTGAGATGCTAGAAAACTACATCTCGACCTTTGATTAAGATACACAGGATCGGGAGATTACTTCTAATACACGGTGTGAGATTCGTACAGTAGACTGACGAGCGATCACTCATCCAAGTACCTACTACGGATGAAGTACTTTGATTAGTTCCTTCAGCCGTCCGACCACCCATGCACCTAATTAATCATTAAGACAATTTAGTATCCCCATTAATATAATTTATCTTAAGCTATAAATTAAAACTTTTTTTAATTGTATGAATTTTTCCAATAAAGATATAGTGTATCAAGTTTTTACGAAGAAAACGAATTTCATAGCTCAGAGGGTGAAGCTATGACGACACAACCACGTTCCCCAGCTGAATCCCCTAATATACCTCATTAGACCCATCAGAGAGAGAAAAACTTTATTTTCATAAAAATATAAAAGATTGCTGCCCAATTATATTGGGTTGCTATATACACAGCATACTCTTTAACCCTTAGGACAATAAATTTATATATATATATATATATATATATATATATATATATATATATATATATATATATATATATATATATATATATATATATATATATATATATATATATATATACATTTTTTTCCTTCCTTTCATTGTTCATGCTTTTTTTTTTTTTTTAACATTTAGTTTTCCTTCCTTTCACTTCTCTCTCTTTATCTCTATTGTTTTCAATTTTTCATTAAATAAATACATAAATTAAAACTCTCAGGCTAGCCATGCACGTGGTGGTGAATGATTCCCAGGGAGTCGAGGACTATATTTTCAGCCAACCTCGCTACGCCCTTAATGTCGACACCTAGTTCCTCGAGGAAGCTCCTTGTTCTTTTTGGAATTGTTCCGCGAGACCCAAACCAGAGGCCTCTCACGGTGAACTCTCTCTCTCCGAAGGTCTCACGGAATTTCTCTTTTAGGAAAGGGATACATTCCTTTCCTAGAATCGTACGTGTTCTTCTTTTCCCTTTCCACTTCAGCGGAACCAAAGCGGACAGTTGGATCCAAGATCAGCGCTGTCCTTCCTGTCTCGGGAAATGCGACTATATCCGCGTATCTCGTAGAGCCTTCAATATCGATGCAATATACCTCGTCAAAGCAGGTGAATTTCCTTTTCCTAAGGATCCTAATCAACTCGAACTGGACCCGGTGGTGACGACGTGTTATGAGGAGGGAGTTGTTGAGGCATTTTTCCAGCACATGGGCTGGTGTTTCAGACTCTCTGCCGCATTTACGGCAGAGGGACCCAATCTTCTCTGACCTGAAATTCTCTGACCTGTCCACTGACACCTGGGACTCCACGCAGGGGTGCTTAATTAATGTTTAGTTTTAGGGCATTCGACCATTCAGACGCAGAAAGTACTTGCTTTTCGTAGATGTATCTATTCGCTATTGGATTCTCTTTAAAATGGCGAACACCAATACCCTGCCACCTGCAGTTGGCCCATTCCTCAAATGCATTTTCTCGTAGCGACTGCCGTAGAGCTTTCACATTTCGATGACCCTGATCAACCCACAATCTCTCGGCACATACAGCAACTTCAGCCGAATAATCGAAGGTAAACTGAAAAAGGGCTTCTGGTACATTGGACAGTCGCTGAGCAATGGACCAATGTTGAAGAGGAGCCTCCCATTGACAGCGGATTAATCTCAATCCTCGGTATCTCCAATAATGGCCTTTACGCTCCTGCGAATCATAGTGTCGATGCCGTCCAGTATTGCACGACGCAGCTTTGTGAGGGGCGCAGTTTGGAGAGGGTAAGTAAGACCCGGGAACATATAATGATTGACAATGTTGAGTTTCTGTTCAGGCTTAAGTAAGCAAGTGGGTTCCAATTTGTTTAGATTATTATTCAATTTAGTCACCGAATCTTCGTTGCATTGTAGCTCTCCCGAGAATGTACATTCTAAATACTTCATCGTATCTCCATTCTTCAATGTTTAGATGTACTCTCCATTCTTAAGGGAGAGCACCGTGGTTTCCAGCTCTCCCTAATTTAGACCGATGCCCATACTTATTTGAGGATTTATAGCCAGACCAATTTCTTGAAATGTCCTCTGTATGCTGTCAATCACTCTTTCTGCAGCCCCCTTGTCTCGCGCCGACACAGCCTGGTCATCTACGAAACCTGTGAGGACCACACACTCTTGATCTTCCCTTAATTTATATCCAAATTTCTTGGAAAAGTCCTCATCGCACAGGTCGCGGTAGAGATGGTCGATGGCCAGATTGAAGAGTGAAGACTATAAGCGGCCTCCTTGGGATACACCGCGCAGCACATTGACCTGGCTAGTTGCATGGACATAGATTCCGTGGTGTATATTTGGTTTGCTGCTAGTGGACTCAATAACTGCCCAAGAAAGAAGCAGCAAGCTAGATGGAAATAACTTGCTAACTTATTTGATCGAACGTATGTTTAAGCCAAACAAAAAAGTTACGAGAACTTTCATTGAATTCAATCCTGTTTTGTGAAAACTATGACAGAGGCATTAAATGAAAGTAATGTTAACCACCATATAGCCATTGATCAATTGCTTCACCTTCCTTTATCTGAACTGGACCTTTAAAACTTAAACTTTATTCATTCAGCTGAAGATATATCATTCCTGACCGGTTAAATACAAGGCATAAAATCGATATATCTATTGAATAAAATTATAAAGGATATCTAAGTCCGGCAGAGATCTAGACATACTTTATGGGAGTGGTAAAGAAATATAAAACTTCTCTCGATGATATACAGCAAATATTGTCAAATACTATTGACTGTTGTGTTCAAAAGAATAAAATAACAGGACACACATGTATATGTTCAAAACAACATAATATAAGCCATTAAAAGCTGTTCAACTTTGAGAAGAAACCAAAACAATCAGTTGGAGCATTTATCAGATTAATAAAAAATAGTTAGATCTTTGGTAAGAGGTCTTTATTTAAAAAAATACAATAATTATATACAGTAGACAGTTGACAAAAACACAACTCATATTTTAATTTTTGATCTTTAGCAAATCTTTGATGATGCTATATTTTGCGGGTCGTCATTTAATCCAGTGTCTTACCACCAATCACCTACAAATCATAAATTGGTATTAAGTAAATATTAGTAGAAATAACTTTTATTTAATAGGTGGTCATAAGATAATCCTAGCGTATATGACTAATACCGTTAAAAGTAATGTAAAATTAAGGATATTTATCAAAATGAATTAAGTATGACTGATTACAAAAAAAAATTATATCTTCACTAAATTAAATTTAAAAAAAATTTAAATAGGATATGTAAACCATAGAACTTTTTAACCCCAAGAAACATCATGTATACCTCCACCACTACTGCCTCCACTCGACCACCCACTGCTTCCTCCACTGCTACCTCCACTTGGCCATCCACTGCTTCCTCCACTGCTACCTCCACTTGGCCATCCACTGCTTCCTCCACTGCTACCTCCACTTGGCCATCCACTGCTTCCTCCACTGCTGCCTCCACTTGGCCATCCACTGCTTCCTCCACTGCTACCTCCACTTGGCCATCCACTGCTTCCTCCACTGCTGCCTCCACTTGGCCATCCACTGCTTCCTCCACTGCTACCTACACTTGGCCATCCACTGCTTCCGCCACTGCTACCTCCAATTGACCATCCACTGCTTCCAGCACTGCTACCTACACTTGGCCATCCACTGTTGCCACCACTGCTACCTCCACTTGGCCATCCACTGCTTCCGCCACTGCTACCTCCACTTGACCATCCACTGCTTCCTCCACTGCTACCTACACTTGGCCATCCACTGCTTCCTCCACTGCTACCACCACTTGGCCATCCACTGCTTCCGCCACTGCTACCTACACTTGGCCATCCACTGCTTCCTCCACTGCTACCTCCACTAGACCATCCACTGCTACCTCCACTTGGCCATCCACTACTTCCTCCGCTACTGCCTCCACTAGAACCTCCACTTGACCATCCGTCTCCGCTCTTGCCACCTCCACCTCCATTCCCATCGCCACCTCCGCCGCCTCCCAAAAGGATGATCTTTATGATGGCTGGTTGCAGTGACACTTGACTACCGCCTCCTCCTCCACCGCCTCCACTACCACCGCTTTTCCAGCCTCCGCTACCACCACCACCTCCAGACCAACCTCCCGCAGAGCCTCCACTACTCAAGCCTAAACAAAACAAAATTCCATTACCATGACTAACAGACGGATTTGAATCACAGCAAATCACAGTAAATAATGGATGCTTACCAGACAATGCCTGATGCAAAAGTGCACTGAAGCACAAAATAGCACAGATAACCTAAAAAATATATTTTAGTCAAGTTTAAATTTAAAAAATGCTGATTTATTCGGTTTCGCGTAAACTTTTAAAAAATTGATGCTTTAAAAATTTGTTTTAATTGATTTAAATTATGTTTTCAGAGATTATGGAAATCGGGAACTCAATCCTATAAAAGGTTTCTTACCTTCATTGCTTGGGGTGAATGTGATGTTCACTGGATGCTCGTCGGTGGTTATATATCCATCCTCTGTGGTGGGGGCCTATCTTCATGTCTACAATCTCTTCCATTTCATTAAGGAACTAGTTGAAATTCATTATACAATCAACTCTATAGGTTTTTGCTTTGGTATTTTTTCCCTAATTTTAGTAATCATTTAATATGTAGCTATTGCCTCTTTTAAGTTTTTAAATATTAATTTGTAATAATTGTACTTTTTTAAAAATTATTAAACGAACTACAATTTTTACATTAAATCAAATCATTGAGATACAGTTCGTGTTTATTCGTATTTCAATTAATTGTATCTTCTTTTTTAAATTCTCTAAACCATTATCAAGATATTTTGAATTGAAATATTCTAATATAGATATATACTGTTTGTTAACATATTAACTCAGTGTTTGCTAATAGAAAATAACTGAGTTGAATCATAAAAAAATGATTTAATATTGGATTTCAACCAAAATAAATAAATTGTCTATAAACATTTATATAAAAGTAATAGCATATATTTAAAAATATTTTAAATAAAAATATAATAATCTTGATTGAGTACGAAAAGTTTTTTTACAGTAAAACTCAAAGCTGGGGTGTTTATATTCCGAAACGTAACTGATTAAAGTATGATAATGTGCTAAATAAAATAAAACATATATGGGTTACAACGAACTAATTTTAGATATCGAAGAAACTTTTTTTTAAATTTTTATATTCCTTATATGGTAGGCCCAAAGAAAGAGAATATATTAAATGAATATTACATGCTTCATTGCTATTATAATTAGGCACGCTATTTGTTGTGTATGTTGCGTTTTAAAATACAGAATATGTAGATATTTGCAATATTGTTTTTAAAAATTAATTAAATTTGTAAACAAACTTTCAATATAAAAAAACTATAAATAAAAATACAGCATAATTCAAAATAAATCAAAAAATATATAATAAAAAATGAATAATTGAAAATAAAAGAAACAAAACTAATAAGAACAAATAAAAAGCTCAGCAAGCCAAGCAAAGCGGATTAACTGTTCCTAATTTATACTGCCTTCCTACATTCATCCATTAATAGGTCAAAGTCTATTTTTTTTTTCAACAAAATCTAAAATAATCTTATATATATATATATATATATATATATATATATATATATATATATATATATATATATATATATATATAAACAGAAGCAAAATAACAAATGCATAAAAATAATATAACAAATAAATAAATAAAAATTCAAAAATAAAAAATATATACAATAAATAAATAAAATTTTTGAAGATAAATAGATTTTTAAGAAACAACACGGAAATACCTATATATACATTTAAAATCAGGTGAGGTAACTCTGAACCAGACTTGTTCCTCCAAATATGAGAAGAAATGCATGACTCCAGGAGATTCCTAAGATTATGAAGGTCGCGATGAGCATCTATAGTTTCAAACTTCTTGGAGGATTGTAGGGATGGGTTAAAATTAATAAAAGAGATGTGGTTACCTGAAATCATTTTACGAAATCATTTATGACCATTTCATTGAAATCCTAGAGTCTTCATAAATTTGCACCTATTACAAACAGCGCGCTAAAAGAACAGACCTAGGTCATACGACGAAATATAAATAAATTTATTTAACCTACTTTTACCTCATGTTTTATTATGAGTGCATATAGACAACAAACTTTAATGCGTAGTACTTGACATGTTTTGGATAATAATGATACAGGCCAAATATTAACTAGACCCGCAACAGAGCGAAAACTTATAATCAAATTCAAAATTTGTTTTTAACAATTTATCAAACAAATAGACTCCAAAACATATGGATAGATATGGATATATCTTTTTAACATAGTATGCTTTTATTTTTATTATGCTGCATTTTTTTTCGTTTAATTTATTTTTCGAAATTTTATTATTACTTTTATTTATATCTAATATTAATATTTTTTTGCTCTTGATTTAATTATTTTGATTTTGTGTTTGGAATAGTATTAATAATGTTACTCCGATATAATAATTTATTGTTAAATTATAATTTATTGTCAAATACGAAAATATTCATCCTTTCTATAATTATTATCATAATCATCTTTCCTATTAAGCTTAGAGAAAAATGGAAAATTATCAAGTTTGTAGTTGTTTGTGGTTGGGATGGTTTTCTTTAAGGTAGCGATTGGAAATATTTCCGAAATTACTATTCATTACTTATTTCTTGCGGATGGTGAGATTCAATATTTTTATAATTGTCCACAAACTAAGGAATAAAATAATAAATAACACTTTTTCTAGTTATTTTATTAATGAAAACCTCTCTGAATGTTTTTGTATAAATATTTTTTGTAACTTTACTTACTTGTGTTCTTAGATGAATAAAAAAAAAAAAAAACAATGAATCACGCAAGTCACCTGAGGGTTCAAACCCTCCACATTATAATTTTTTATTGACATTAAAAAAATCAATATATTAATCTCAAAAATAATGAAGTTTATACCTTTTAAAATCAACCAAATTGACCAATTCAGAATCCAAATTTAACCAAGGTAGAAAATAAAACCGTATGGAAAGAGGATGTGAATATAGGTGCTGTATGACGCCAAAATAAAAACATGAGTCAAGTAGATGTATGTAGTATGTGTATGTTTATATATAGTACATAGCTTCATCACAGTTTTTATTTTGGATATGCATTTATTATTATAATATATATAAACATAATATATTGATTAGGTTATGAAAACATCAATAAACATATAGATACACATGTACACCTACGCACACACATATATATTTATTATTTTCCATATGCCACTTATGTAATAAATCTTCATAAAGGCTATTTACTTACTACAATTACCTAAGTACTCCGTGCCTACTATAAAGCAAATAAGAAATTACTTTAGCTTTCCATCCCTAGCTAGTGAATCTAAGTCCATAGTTATAATAAATATAATCTTGTCAATCTTGAATTTAAAAAAAAAAAATAAATTATGCTTTAAACTCAAAGCAAACTACAAAAAAATAATAAAAATCACCCTAAATTATTAAAACTGATTCACAAAAAGGGCATCTGCACAGATTGTAGTAACTATTGAGGTATCTCATTCCTTCCGGTATGTTATAAAATGTTCTTATTAATCCTTACTAATCGGATTAGGGAATACGCCGAAGAAATTTACGGGGACTACCAACACGAATTTAGACAGAACCGTTCAACTATTGATCAAATATTTTTTACGGCAAATATTAGAGAAAAATTAGAATACAACGGTATTGTTAACCAGCTGCATGTCGATTTAAAAAAGCCTTATGATTCCATTGGCAGAAGCTATATAATATTCTAACTGAGCAGTGGAATCAAACATAAAAGAGTGAATCTAGTTAGGATGTGCTTGCCGAAAACTTTAAATAGAGATAGAATCGGTAATTATTTACTCGAAAAGTTTGAGGTTCGTTCGAGTTTAAAACGAGGTTATTTCTTTTTTTTTTCTCTCCTAGTTGATTTATCGTTATAACATACCATTAGGGAGGTAATGTTTAACGGAAAAGTTTTGAATTTGGGTGGACTCGGAACTCAGGTTGGCGGTGAAAGTAGAAGTGTAAAAAGCGATTAGTGGTGTCGGCATCGAACCTTAGGGTTCACTAGGTATTTTATTATTATTATTAAAAATGTGAAAGAAATAATTTAATGATTCAAATTATACTAGGTGGACAATAAATTCTAGTGTTATAAGGTGCCTATAGGTCATTCAGTCCATATAAAGGAAACTTCTTATCATGATAATTATAAGAAAAATGTTACAACAATTTTACAGAAAATTAACTATACAGTTAACTATACTCTGGGGTACCTTCCTCTCCCCCCCATCCAAGGTCGATGCCACATGAAGCTTCTCCCATCCTTCCCAAGATATTTTAATGCTCTCCTCTTCTTAAGTGCAATCGAAAGCAGAATTTCAAAATTCGTAGATCATATACAATTACACATCCTACAATCTGTTCTATGCTTCCACTTGTCGTTTGATTTAAAACTTTTCATTTTGAAAATTCATTACTCCCTCAATAATTTTGGCGCAACTTGAGCCATTAAACCTCTTTCTGGGCACCCCTGATACAGCTTATGATTAAATGCTCTATGGATTCAAAAATTGTCTCTATGCTTCTTAGTCAACTAAAGGGAACGGATAAAACATGAAAGTTTACATGTTTTATATGTTACAAGGGGAGTTTACTGGCATGGGGTTACCGATTTCAATGCTGGTAATAGTTCGAAAACTATTAGACCCATGTCCGAGGGTTTTTGCTAATGCACCCTAGGAGCCAAAATAAAAAAATAAAAAAATTATGAAATTTTGTTATTTTTTTAATATTATTTTTCTGACTTAACTCTGCATGGATTTCTAAGTTATTCTATATCAATCGATTTCTTTTTTTGGTAAAATATGAAAAATATATTGCTAATTTATTAAACGAATTCTGATACATAATAAATTACAAAGCCCTTAGGCTAGGGAATCTCAACCTAGAACTCGCGGGCACTGAAGTGACGTCACTAGTGCCCAGTAGCAAACTTGTGCCCGCCAATGTCTATCATAACCTATATTGGCGATCACCTTGGCAACAGTTTTACTTTTGTCTTCTACAAATCGAAATTTTTTTAATAAAATGTTAAATATTTATTTTGGCAAATATCTTATAATTAATTTTTAAGCGAATACTTCGATAATAGAAATTTATTTCCAATCGTCATTATTATTTTACGTTGCATGCTGCAGATAGACGAGTTTTCAATTCAAATGTTTAAAATATATATTTTAATATTAAATACATATTTAATAATCTAATAAGATTTTTTAGCTATAAAATCCATGAATATAAATAAATTATTTGAAATATATAAAGCATAGATTGATATAATATCATAATTGTTTTCTTTATTCTTAGTAAAAAAAAAAAAATGAATGCTACAGTGTTACAGTATTATATGAAACACCTAATTATAACACATATCGTTTCTAATTAATTAATGTTTCTGATTTAAAAAAATATTAATCTAATATAAGAAAACTACATAAAATTAATAATATTCAATAAACTTGTTTTTTTTTTGCCTGATTCGTAGAAATATGTTTCATTAGTTTTAGAAATATTAAAGATGTTTGTTACTATATTTATATATATACGGTTATATATATGCCTATATATAGTATAACTATATATACGGTTACTATAAATATAAGCAAATATATCGAAAGCCACTCTGCAAAAGCCTGTATGGACAATTTATTTGGAAAATGAGATTTTGAGCTTTTCTGGTTCGAAAAAGTGAAGTCTACGACGTTTCATTCCTTCTCTATGGCCTTTAAAAACCTCTAGCTGAAAACCAACAAATTGTGATGTAAAAACCTGTTAGTGTCCAAAAGACAGATTGTTATAATACTCAATACAGAAATAATTAAAAAAAACCTGCAAGTTACAGTTAAGGTTGTAGAGATTCTATTGTTACCTAGAAAATGCTTAGGAAAGGCAGCCGTGTAATTGCAAAAATCAATAAGCGTTTCGCGCATAGACTACAGTACCGAGTAGATTTATTAATAGGCTAAAATGAATTTTAGAGAAGTGGAGGAACTGACTGAGGCAGGAATTTGCACGAGAGAAACTTCAGTTTATGAAGGAAACACCCTTAAATAAAAAATATATAAAATTTACAAGACATAAATTAATTCACCTTCATAGTCAGTACCCACTTCTTTGATCGGTATAAAGATATCTGATATTTGATATAAGGATATTTGATATAAGGATATTTGATCGGTACATTAGAATATCTGCAATCAACCGCAGCGAATTATAAGATGTGAGATTTAGCATCTTAAAATTTTCAAAAATTAACTACACTTCTTTAAAGTCTCCTTCTACTCTATGTTTACTGGAGAAAAAAGAAGAGTTCATAGTAGTCACACAAAATAATGCAGAAGTTTCAAAATCAAATGTTGCTACACATACTGTTTTTTTTTTTTTTTTTGTATAAAATTACATACATTTAAAATATTAATTTTTAAAAACACTTTGACATCGGATAGCCCCTACTACAGACCCCTCTTATCAAATTATTAACATCCACCTGAAATTTACTGAATAGCTTCATCACATCATAATCTACTAATTTTTTATTGTCTAATTCATAATTTTCGAAGTTGGTGCATTTTTAATCTGGAGATCGGCGAACTTTGTCTTTTTAATTAGGTACTAAAAATTCATTAACACCCATTTGCTTACTACTTTAATCGTAAAACGATTGGATCACACAATCGAGAATAATGGTGGCCCTAACATGTCAAAATAATGAAATCATATAAAATGATCATAATGAAGTGACTTTATTCTCGATTTTTGTATCAACTTATCTTACGATTCAAGGGAAAGCAAATGAATATTTGTGAGTTTTTAGAACTTCCTTCTTCTTCTTTATCATCCTCCTTAATGCCTCTCAGCGTGGAGGTGTCCGGATGCTGGATTGCCAAGCTGCCCGCTCCCGAACCAGCTCTCTATTGAATTCATGGACTTTCCCTTCTCACCAATCCTGAAGGTGTGGTCTATCTTATTTTAAGTCCTCATCCATTCTGCATGGATGACCAAACCATCCCAACTACCTCATTTCGACTGTTTCCCTCAAAGCAGGCACTCTCAGGTCTCCCCGTACCCTTTCATTCCTAACTCTGTTCCTCCTGATTTTGTTGTTGTTTTTAGTACCTGAATAAATTTAATGAGAAAACCTCCCATTTCTGAGAATATTTACCTCTGGTATAAAACGTAAACATGTTTTTATTTTAAAAAATACATTTATTATATACAGCAGTCAGTTAACAAGAAAAACTAAGATTTCAATTTTTGATTTTTAGCAAATCTTTGGTGATGATGTTTTCTGTAGGTCTTCGTTTGATCCAATACCTTACCACCAGCCACCTGAAAATATGTTTGTAATATGTTAGCTTTGGGTAAATATTAAGTTTAAAAATAACTTTACTTAATGGCTAGCCATACGACATTCCTCTCCTATAAAATGTATACTAGTTATCGTTAAAAGAAATGAGACATTCAGAGTATTTATCAAAATTAATAATGACTGCTTACAAAAAAATGTTTTTCACCGTTACAGTTCACAATTGTTACTTTCGTTTACCTATATATGAAACATATAATAAGAGGAAGCATTGCAATCGTGAAATTTTTTGAATTTGAGTTTTTTTTTTACCTTCACAAAATTGAATTAAAAAAAATATAACATAGAACTTGTAAACCTAAAGAATTATTATATACCTCCTCCACTACTGCCTCCACTCGACCATCCACTGCTTCCTCCGCTGCTACCTCCACTTGGCCATCCACTGCTTCCTCCACTGCTACCTCCACTTGACCATCCACTGCTTCCTCCACTACTGCCTCCACTTGACCATCCACCTCCACTGGATCCTCCACTAGACCATCCTCCACCACCAGAACCTCCACTTGACCATCCTCCTCCGCCCTTGCCACCTCCTCCTCCATTTCCAGCACCACCTCCGCCACCTCCCAAAAGGATGATCTTTATAATCGCCGGTTGTAGTGACACTTGACCACCGCCTCCTCCTCCTCCACCGCCTCCACCACCACCGCTTTTCCAGCCTCCTCCTCCACCGCCTCCACCACCACCGCTTTTCCATCCTCCGCCACCACCTCCGCCCCCAGACCAGCCTCCTGAAGAGCCTCCACTACTCCATCCTAAAGAAGACAAAATTATATTATCATGACTGACGGATGAATGAAATCACAATATTTGATAATGGATGCTTACCAGACAATGCCTGATGCAAAAGTGCACTGAAGCACAAAATAGCACAGATGACCTACACAAAAAATATTTTCAAAAATTTTAGCAATTTTATTAAAATTCATATTAAAGTGTACTGATTTATTTATTTTCTATAACATAAAGTCAGATGTTTGAAAAACTCTATATTTTTTAAATGACCTAAATTAAATTATTAGAGGTCACGGACATGTGCCCCTGGCAACTTAATCCTGTAAAAGATTTCTGTCTTACCTTCATTGCTTGGGGTGAATGTGATATTCACAGGCTGCTCGATGGTGGTTATATATCCCTCGTCTGTGGTGGGGACTCATCTTCATTTCTACAATCTCCTCCATTTCCTATTTCATTAAGGAACTGGTTGAAATTGATTATACAACCATCTTGGTAGTTTTTATATTAAGTATATTTTTCTTAAATTTAGTCAACTTTTAGTGTGTATTGATTGATTCTTTGGAATTAAATTTAATCATCTTAATTTGTTTGATTTATTACGTATAAAATTTAAAACTATAATTTTTACATTAAATCAAATCATTGAGGTAAAACTTATCATAATCCGTATTTCATTACTTACGTCTTATTTAAAATTATTCAAAACTTTCTTCAAATTATTTTGAATTGAATTATTCAAATTTAGATAGGAAAAAGTTTTATAAAGAAAACTATAGATCCAATCACCACTCCTTGTAAATAAGAGTTAAATAAATAAAAAATAACTGGATTTAAGAATTGTATTTCAAACTAAACTGAATTTCAAAACAGCTCAAAAGTCACAAAGATTAACTATAAATTGCCAATAAAATTGGTAAATAAGCAATATACATTTTTTAAAAATATATAAATAGAGAAATTTGATTGAGTATTATAGGATTTTTTTCATCGTAAAAGTTCAAAGATTTCTTCATGAAATCCCGGAACGTAATTATAATATGATAATGTATAAAACAAAATTTAAAAAAGTATGAGTGTTAACGGAGGAGTAGATGAATGAACTTAAAATAAAACAAACTATTTTTTTTTTGGCTGGGATATTCAGTTGTTACAAAAAAAAAGTGAATGCAGAAATAAGGTATCATAAATTATTGGCATATTGATTTTTTTCCCGGCTAACTCCAAAACAATGCATAAAAACCACAATGCATTTTATTTCTTTAATTGTTCTAGTATTTTTTGTAATTATATTATTAATAACACTCTATATTCGTCATCTTTCCTCGGTGGAAGAAACCAACGCAACGCCGCTGAAATAGGGACTCCTATACAATATCCTCAAAATCAATTGCATCTCTCTTATTACAAAACAATACTATAAAAAAGAAAATGTGCACATTAGAAATTGACAAAATTGCTAACAAAACACCGAATATCTAAACCACTTAAAAATATTTCATTTGACGGTCACAGATTCGACTGCAGCTTATACGAACACAAAAGGTACGATTCAATAAAAATTTGTGGATTTTTTGTTAAAATCTCTCGAGGTTTTAGAATAAAACGTAAAGTGAAGCTTAACTTACAACTGTGAAAAAAAAAAAGGAAAAGAATAATATAATAAAATAATGGACAGTATGGCTTGCAAAACAAAACATAGACTAAGCATTTTTTTTTTTAATAACAAATAATTGAATGAGATCAATTTTTCATTTGATTGATACTAAAACAAAATAAAACTTCTAATAAATTAAAATAAAGATAAATTAAATATAACGATAAATGAAAACAATGCTGGAATATTGATTAAATGATGTTTGCCTCTGTCCCAAAATCAATCGATCTAAACTAATTCTAAACATAACAAAATGTCTCTAATATTAGAAGTAGAATTTGTACTAACAAAAATAAAAGTATACAACTGAACGTGCTCGTTCGCAGATGACCATCAGCAGAAACTTTCTTACAGCCTTTCTTTTTACGGCGATTTCATATAAATAGTTTATGAGTGCTCATATATTACATAAAACTGCAAATGGGCAGAACACTGAGTCCACATTGATGAAATATATAAGAACTCGTGCAAGAAACTGCAAAGGGGAAGTGGAGGAGTGAGTCCACAGTGAAGGACTGTGGCAGAGCTCATTCAAAAAAGACTGAAAATAGGCAGTCCTAGTTCACGAAGTCCACGGCTTCATATTTAAAACTTAATATTTGTCACCCTGCTGTCAAAGGTAGGTAAGTCCAAGATAGTCTACGTCGTCCGTCTAATGTATTTGGTTGTTTTAGATATATGTTGCAGAGTAGGTATTTTTTCTAAGATCAAATTTAATGTGTTTCGGTTTATCATGGCTTAACCGAATTTTTCATAAATTGTACCTCTTGTGTAATTTATGTGAGTGATGTTGTAACGTTAGTGAGGCTTGTGTAAGATCTTGATGTTTTGTATGAACCATAAGTAGCAGTCAAATTCTCATTGTTAATAGGCATGTCGTACGTGTACACAGTTCATTTAATCTTTTAATCGAAGTTTTAAATCTTGAAAAACAATTTACGAATCAAGACAACAAAGCAAAAATATAAAAAAATACCCATTAATCTATAAATATATTAAACAACATTGATATTATTAAATTCTATTCATTAAAATTCATGAAGAACAAAAAGCAAAAAAAAAAATTGTTTTTCCTACCCCCAGGAATTTATTTACTATACAAAATACAATATATAAATACACAATGAAATATATATCCAAAATTTCTAATTTCCTTTTATTGCCTAAGGGCATTTTAAGGTAAGAGGGCTATGCACGCTGTATGCGTACTTTGCATCTGTGGCTAGAGGCCTATACTACCGGGCGTGGAGGGACCGCCCTGCAAAAAAAAAAAAAAAAAAAAAAAAAATATTACAAATGTAACATTGTATATCATTGTATATCGAGTATGACTCATAATATGTATAACAATAGTTCACTAGATTGAATAGGATTTGGAGAACCATTAATTGTATTGCAGATTGCATAGTCATAGTGTGTTAGGCGTTTGTCTCACCTTTCTGCTTAGAAATGAAACCAAACCCGGTCAAAAAATATTTTAATTGTTATTTAAAAATACATCGTATTTTAAACACCCTGTATTTAAAATACTTTCGGAAAAAGTATTTTCAATAATACTATAAATAATCAATAAGGAATAGTTTTCGTATTTTGTATTTAAAATACAAAAATAAAAAATACAAATACAAAATACTTACATCCGAAGTACCGAGTTGCACTTAAAAACTGATTCCTTTAAAAGAATTACAAAAAACTTTATAAATTAAATTTTACAATTTACTTTAAATTTAGCACTAAATTAATATAATTTAAAACTTTATCATATGGTTAATCATATGGTGCTAGAAACCTATAAACACAAAAAATTATAACTAAAAAGGTTATTTGAATTTTCAGTTGAATTTTTAAGTAGAAACGTAAAATTTTCTTTTTCGAAGTTAAAGGAAGAAGGTGTGAAAGTGAACATACGTAGTTGAAGGTGATATCCACCGAAAAAATGGATCCTAACCCAACTACAAATGTTGTGGTAAGGGACGAAAGGATGGACTTAATCGACACTGCTTGTGGTGATGCTTGGGCATTGGTAACGGGTAAAAAAAGAAATTTTCCTAATGAATCTAGAGATCCGACAAAATACAAAAAAACCGAAACAGAAAATGCAACGCCAATATCTGTGAGTAATTCTTATGATGTACTTATTACCATTACCGAAAATGAACAATCCGCAGTAAATGATCAAACGAAAAACCACCACCAATACACATAAACGACGTTCAAAATTATCAGGAATTAGTCCTATTCCTTGAAAACAACGCAGCTCCAAATTCTTTTTTTCTGAAAACAACTATCACAGGTGTAACAGTTTACCCGAAAACACCTGACGTATACCGTAAACTAGTGAGTAGTCTTAGAAATGGAGGTGCTGAATTCCACACATATCAGCTACCTGAGGACAAAAATAGAAGAATTGTTATTAAAAATTTGCACCACACCACCCCAATCTCTGAAATCAAAAATGATTTAGAAAAACATGGTTACATTGCAACAAACATCACAAATGTATACTCTCGATTCAAAAAACCTTTTCCCATGTTTTTCATAGACATAACAAAGGCTACTTTCAAAGAAAAAAATTATGAAATTGAAACAATTTATTATACAAAAATTGTTGTAGAGGAGCCTCGAAAAAAAAGAATTATACCTCAGTGTATAAGATGCCAACAATATGGTCATACAAAATCATATTGCAACCATTCTCCACGATGTGTTAAATGTGGCCAAGGCCACGAAAGTGTATCCTGCTTAAAGACCAGGGAGACAAAGGCAACCTGCGCAAACTGCCTTGGAGACCACCCGGCCAACTACCGAGGATGCCAAGTCCTGAAGGATCTGAGGGCGCATAGGAGAACAGCAAGAACCAACCATCCTCCTAGATCCCCACCTCTCCCTCCACCACCAAGTTTCGAAGAATTTCCGACTCTTCAGCAGCCCTAGCGAAAAGAGCAGCCAATACAAAAAAATGCTTCGCAGAAAGCTACGCCAGCTCAGCTGCAGGAACCATCAAGAAACCAGATGACAAGAAGAGAAAATGCTACTACATCTGCTCACATCAAACCATCATGTTCAGGTATGAGGCGGGAAACTACTCAGCAGCCACCTTCAGCTGAAAATAATGCCCCACCTCAATTGCTCCAATTACTCAATGGTTTAAACTCCCTCATACAGCCCCTGTTTAGTATCCTCCAACAGCTTGCACAGGTGACTCAAGCCATGTATCCACAAAATGGCCGCTAATCAGCTGACTGCAGGCTCTTTGTCCATCCTTCTGTGGAGACATGGCCACAGCTGACATACCTCAGAACATGAGCAGGAGACTAAAAAGGCGTTGGATGAGGGATCTCCTTCCTTAGACAACCTAAGTAATTGGAACAAGTTAGGGAAGAGGTACTGCTGAGTACTTTCCTTCCCCATGCCTGTCATGTCATTATATCATTATCGTCATCACATTTGCTGATTGTCAACTTATTGTTGACAGGCGCAAATATATATTTTATAGCCAAAAAAAAAAAACTTTATAATAATTTAAACTTTTTTATTATATTAGATGAACAGCTGGAAATTATTTTTACGAAAAGTTCTAAAAATAATTGCTCTTACTAAAACGAATATTTGTCGACTGATAGATAGAGGGAAGAATAGTGGAAGCTAACTCTTAACAAGAGAGCGACACCTACTCTGTGAAATCTTCATTCAGGGACGGTTCACAGAGTCTAGCCGAATTTGCGTTTACCAAACGCATCTCGGAAAACATGAAATGGGAAGGAGGGCTGGAACATGGACTGACTAGCGGAGTATCTATGGAAAAAGAAGAGAGCAGAAATACAGATCAAACTGTAAGTAACTTAGTTGAAAACCAAATATCACGCCACCCAACCTATGCTCAGATAATGAACACCCAAAAACCGTCGAACCGCGAATATGCAATTGTGCTCCAAACTCACAAAGGCATAAAACAAAAACTGTATGTGGAAAAAGTATCAGACCTTGTAGAACTTCATGCCATAAAGTTTGCGTCACGCATATCAAATAACAGATTTCTGAAGAACGAAATGTAATCAGCAATCTTCCCATAACTTCAGACGCTATTGTTGATAAATAGAACCCAGCCATCACTCAATCTACCTTACCTGAGGATGTTGATAAACAACGAGGCCCATCCACTTCTCTGATCATAACTTCAGACAGACAAAACAGCGTTTCAATAGTTACAGAAATGCAAAAAAAGAATAGAATTAGCGATTGCAGTTATGGATTAATCACCAAACCTGCAACAAAAAAACTTAGAAAAAACAAAGCATCTCCTTTAGGGTACATCACAGAAATTAAAAATAACACCAAACATTTCAAAGCAGGTAAGACTCGTCGTACACACACTCCTATGAACACTACTAAAGTAAAAACACCTACAACAAAAAGGCAGAATGATTACAAAATAGGCTCCACTGGCTTTTAATACTAGTGATGCGGCTGGAAAAGTGGCACTGGGATCTCTGGAGTCCTGCTTTGCTTTCCACATGTGGGGAGAAAAGCCTGGCTCGGAGATTCCTGGGCGAATGTATATATTGTATATAGGTATGAATGTGTTTAGAAGTTTTTATTTTATTTTGTTTATTTATTTTTTTATTTTATTTTTTTTTTTCTATTGATTTACATTTTTTTATAAATATTATTTATTTACTTTTTATATTTATAGCTACTTCTGTATTACTTGTATATACTGTATGAATGAGAACTTTTAGCCTTAATACTTATGGCCCTCCAACAGTGGCTGATTGTATTATTATTCAATAAAAAATAAAAAAATAAAAAATTTCCGAAGAAAACCCAATATGCTGCTGTTTACAAGAAACTCACCTTAACGAAAAACACTCAGTGAAATTCAAAGACTACAAGATTTATAGAAAAGACAGATACTCTGAAAGAGCGTGGGGAGGAGTCGCAACGTTTGTTTCAGAAAACATCCATAGTGAAGAAGTGATACTACAAACCCAGTTCGAAGCATTAGCTGTGAAAATGTATTCCTCACAAAAATAGTGAACAGTGTAAATAGACCTCAGGTTAGTTACTGATAACGGCCGGCCATAACATCGCTAATCCCACCAGTGGGCTCTGGCTCTCCGTCCGAGGAGGTTCTGTGCCGATCAGTCCTCTCTAAGCACGCGTATATATTTCCGTGTTTAAAAAAAAAAAAAAAAAAATTTGTTATCACTTCTCATTTTACAATTTTTCCTATCACTTATAATATGAAATGCGATATTATCATATGCTAATGTCGAGCAAGGATAAAAATACTAGGTCCAGGAGCCTCGATACTACGATGAGTTCTCCTATTAAAAAAAGAACAAGGCGTTCGAAAAGAAATACTCCACCAGCCACACCAGGGAGCTCTGTTGAAGAAGTGGATCCCCAACCTGGTACCTCACAACAACAAAACAATCATGAGACAACTCAGACTGGTGAAGAATCGCCGTTTTTCACTCAGAACCCATTTCAAGTGCTATCAAATACACAAAACGAAGAAATGGAAGCAGCACCCATCCCCAGGGAACCCAAACCCCCACCAATATTCCTTAGGAATATTAAAAACTTTCAATTAATGTGTCACCAATTGAATAACCTAGTGGGCTCAGGAAAATATTTATGCCAAAGCCGCACCAATGACACTAAATTAATGCCCGACACTCCAGAAACTTACAGAAAAATTATAAAATATTTATCTGATACCAAGGCGGATTACCACACGTATCAACTGCGTCAAGAGAGGGCGCTCAGGGTCGTTATCAGAAGACTGCACCCATCTACGCCAACAGATGCTATAAAAAAAGAGCTCGTGGGTATGGGATTCCATGTTCGCCAGATAGTAAACATATTTAAGGAGGATAGAGAACAGCCTGGAATAAAAAGTAAAATACCGCTCCCACTATTCTTCGTTGACCTTGACCGAACGCCCCAGGTCGAAGACATCTACAAGGTCACACGCCTTTATTACACCAGCGTTGTTGTGAAAAATCCTTACACCAAGCGCGACATCGTTCAATGCCATAACTGTCAGGCTTATGGCCATACGAAAAGATATTGTCATCACATTCCTAGATGTGTGAGGTGTGGTGAGCAACACAAAACAGAAGAATGTAGGAAGTCTAGAACTTCACCTGCAGTATGCGCTTTATGCCACCAAGGGCACCCTGCCAACTATAAGAGTTGTCAAACATACAAAGAATTAAAAACAAGAATGTACGCAACTCCTAGAGAAGAAGGGACATCCAGGCCACCAAGACAACCCTCTAGAACAGTGAACGGAAGAGTGACCTATGCTCAGATGTTCAAAGGAGACACAAATCAACCTCAAGACCCACATCCCTCCATCCCTGAACCTAGGTTCAATACCCAGACATACATTCCTCCTCCTTCCAATTCCACTGACCTCACAAGCCTATTAACTTCTTTCCTCTCTGAATTTAGATCCCTCATCACCCCTCTTATTTCATTACTTACCAATGTTATATCCAGCCTCATTCCACCGCCGAGAAATCCATAAATGCCCTCAACCAAATCCCTTTCCATTCTCCTATGGAATGCAAATGGTATTCGAAATCACATCAACGAACTGACAATCTTATTACATGACAAAAACATCGACATAGCACTAATAACTGAAACCCGACTAACCAACAAACGACAAATCAACGTTCCTGGCTACAATATTTATAGAACCGATCATCCTGATGGAAC